TTCTCCTTCTACTGAAAGTCTTTAAGAGCAGACCAGACAGCTGTCAGTCAGAGAGATGCTTTAAACTGGATCCCTACACTAAGCAGGGAGTTGGAACTTGAGAGTCTAAATAGCCTCTTCGAATGCTAGGATTCTATGAAATTTGATGCTGTGGAAGACATTATCTCTGGAAGAACATTTCCCCACAGCCTGCCATTTGATGCTGTACAGAGAATAGAAACTTTTTCTTTTAAAAGGACATGAGTAAAACAAACATGTTTTTTAAAAATTGCACCTCTTCTTTTTGTCTGTGATTAAAAGGCAGGTCCTCATGAGTGATGTTACTAGGAGAACAAATGCAAAGCATCTACCTCAGTGGTTCTCAACCTTTTTAATGCCGCGACCCCCAACCGGTCATAAGTCAAGGACTAAACCGGTCGTAAGTCGAGGACTAAACCGGTCGTAAGTCGAGGACTTTCCCTGCCCGGGAGCGCTGCACATGCGTGGTTCCGCCCCCTGTGCCGGCCGAGGCGTAGCTGGCAAGTGGCAGAGACGGAGCAGGCCGACCACCAGCTGGCCCAGCTCAAGGGAGGTAAGGCACCCGCCGGAAAAGGGGGAAAAAATGGTGGACAGCCTTGCTTGGCGACCCCCGTGAAATGGTCGATCGACCCCAAATGGGGTCGCGACCCATAGGTTGAGAACCGCTGATCTACCTGATAGTGTAGACCCCTGGTGTACACACACACACAAGAGCAAAATGTTCAAATGTTCAGCTTTAAATGGTCCTCATTCCCACCCCAACATTGGATGGCACTCTCCCCAAAATGGTTCTCTTATGCTTGTGGAAGGACTGGAGACTTCCACATTTACCACCTCCCAGGTATTATTGCATTCACTCACCATGACCTAAGTGTAGCCATAAAATGCACCTTGGAGTCCTTGTAAAATCACATTCATAGTTCAGATTATGAGGCTTCTCTGTATTTAGTAATTTACACACTTCTCAGAACTTGCTGAGTTGGTACCATGATGAAAAGAATGCTTTGGAGGCTCTTCTGCTTTTGCTAATATTTCCAAAACAATATTCTCACAATAGTCCCATAAAAACCAGAGGATTGAAGAAGATGTAAAAAATTGATGATACTCTCATGTTTATATCAGACTGAAGACCCTACTTTTATATATTTGCATCCTGGTGCCTGGGGTAAGTACATAAATCCTAGTTTTTCAATTATGGCATCATGATGGATGCCTTTATCACTTACCCAGCCCCTGTGAATACTTAAGTCACAAATGTTGGATGCTAGGAGGCCCAGTAAAGTTAGCAATTGGCAAGCTTAAAGCAGACAGTAGTGATACTGCCTAGTTTACTTTCTCTATGTTCAGCTAATGGTTAGCCTGTGTACTGAATAATGGTTGATTGAAGGTGCTGTTTGGGAGCGCTGGACAAAACTGTGCTGAATATATCGTTATTAAATTGTGGAAGAAAGAATGGGAAAATTTAGTGTTGAATTTCAAGTGCATCAGCAATTACATTTGCAAATAAAGTGGATGATGGCATTGCAAAACTTTGTATTTCCTGTCTTAAAATGGCAGGGAATCAGGCAGGTGATGTGAGTCAATTGTCCCATTGATATTTCATGGTGTGATTTAAAATTCTACTGCAAAGCAGTAGAAAATGATTTGGAGACTATATACTGTCCTGTTCTAGGATCACAGGGTCCTTTCCCTTGCCACAGTGAATAGGTGACCCCACCCCTATCAGTTCTATTCCAATTTCAGAGCTATTATCGTTTCTCAAAGTAGACCCAATCAAACCTGCTCATTCTATCTTCCACTGGAACATTCACGTCGGTGCCGATAAAAGCAGGCCAGAACAGCTACTGCTATTCATCTAAACCAGCGGTTCTCAACCTATGGGTCGCGACCCCATTTGGGGTCGATCAACCATTTCACGGGGGTTGCCAAGCAAGGCTGTCCACCATTTTTTTCCCCTTTTCCGGCGGGTGCCTTACCTCCCTTGAGCTGGGCCAGCTGGTGGTCGGCCTGCTCCGTCTCTGCCGCTTGCCAGCTACGCCTCGGCTGGCGCAGGGGGCGGAACCACGCATGCGTGGCACTCCCGGGCAGGGAAAGTCCTTGACTTACGACTGGTTGGGTAGTCCTCAACTTACGACCAGTTTAGTCCTCGACTTACGACCGGTTGGGGGTCGCGGCATTAAAAAGGTTGAGAACCACTGATCTAAACAAACTTTGTGACCCCATTTGTCTCAAATACTATTTGAAGGTTCTATGGGGTTTTTCTTTTTGGTGAGAGAATAAATCTGTTTTTATTGGCTTGCTACCTTAGACCCACTTTTATCATGCTTGGAAGCTGGCACAAAGAAGTACTCAATGCTCACTACTACCACTACTAGACTTGGGGAAAGGACAGAAATGGAAGCAGGTCGAAAGACTGAAAAACATACCCACCAGGAACGTTCTCCTTTTTGCTAAATCTTTCTACTGATTTTGTACTAGGACAAATGGCCTTTTAGGTACCGTTTCCTTGTACTGTCAAGAATCCTACCAAGCTTTCAAACTTTTAAATAGGCCTTTCTCCAAACTGTAGTCATTCTGCTGGATTTTGTGAAGTTTTGCCTGTCTTCTTTGATTTAATTTAGCCAATAGTCTCACAACAGTGTTCACATTCCTATATGGCAGCAGAGCAAAAGTGCCTCAGAAACCTATAAAAAGCTACAGTGGTGCTTCAAAGATCATCATATTGTAGATAGTTTCTATTGAAAATCAAATCCAACAGTCACTTTAAACTGATACACAAAAGCTAGAAAAACCTTACAGCTCTTTAAACCTTTTGCAGACTGCAGCCTCTTTTGTGTTTATTTTAGGAGCAAATATTCAATGTTTCAATATTGTGGTCCAGATGGATCTAATTATTTACATATTCTTCTCGTTAGCTTCCAAATGCAGCACACAGTCCAGAATAGGAGTAGAAAATTGTCATGCCCCAGATGTTGCTGCACTACAACTCCCAGCGCCCATCACTATTGCTCATAATAATTGGGCAACTGAAAATTGTGTTTGAATTTCTGAACACTGGTTCCAGAAGATTCTGATTTGGCTCTCACTCTGGCTAATCACAGTGGCTTTTCTGAGTAAATTCTGTGTTGTCAAAGCTACATCAGGAAATTCAAGCAGCCCTTTTTGTGGAGGATTTCATGTTTGGTACAAAAATCCTCATAAGAAATTAAGTTATTATTTTCTTTTCAAATGGGCAAATGGTGGCAGAAAGTTTCAAGTCTAAAGAATTTTCCTTGGACCAATGAGACTTTCCCAATCTTTTCTAGCAGTAGCCAGCAACGGGACTGCCTTGAGTATATTTCTGGGCCTGGACAGGACATCAGGCTGCTGCCCTTGGAAATGTCTGAGGGAAGAAGACCCATGGATGGGACTTCCAGTTCTGTGTGAGGCAGTTGAGCACCTTAGAAGTTTTCTTCGACATAAAGGGGTTCCATTCTGGATGGACAAGCAGAGCTTTTTAGCACAGAGGGTGATGACGAAAGTCTGGCTGAGAAGCAAGTAGCAGTTTAATGGCTGGAACAGGACAAACAACTAAAGGAGGGGGGATGTCAACAAACCACTGCCTACTAAGATTATACCTGCATTTCTCACATTCATATTAGCAGTACCCTTAGGCTAAAATAGGTGGCTGTGCATAGCAAGGACACATGGCGGGAAGAGGTCAAAATAGTCTTCCTTTTAGATATTTATTTTCTGGTCAAGACTGAGTTAAATAATATGCTAGTGTTCCAATATTCAAATGGATCTAGGCATCACAGAATACTTTGGTCAAGTGGATCTAGCATAGATGGGTATGGATTCATCAGAGTTTATTGACTTACATTTCTTACATATGCTCCTGTCTTTCTCTGCCTGCTAGCTTTCAAGAGTGAAGTGAACTAGAAGGGCAAAAGTAATCCTGAATGACAAGCCAAAGGAGAGGCAGCAAGAACACGGATGACCAAAGGCTGCAAATGGTAACTTGTATGGCCAGTAATCTGATTTGCAAGGCAAGAGATTTTGATGGAATTAGAACATGGCACACAAAGGACACCAAATGCTACAAATCTCAGTGTTTTTCCGGACGTTGTGGAGCGGAGGCACCTACATCAATGACATTGAGCTGTGATGGTTCCTTCTCCACAAATTGCATACACCAGTGAATGTCATATCCCGACTTCTGTGCTCCACTATGCAGGCGGCCTGGAAACCACGATACAGTTGATCCCTAAAGAGGGTACATCAGGTTCCACAGAGGATGGTGCACAAAGTGAGTTTATCTCTACATAGGTGAACTTGCCGCAGTCCGGGAAAAGTCCACTTGGTCCAGGTTTCTCCGGCACCTTAAAAACCCGAGGTAGACCTGACAGTCCGAATTGGACATGCCCCACAGTGGGGGCGCAGGGGAGGTTTCCCTTCCCTGCAGGGCTCCTTTGAGATGCCCCACTGAAAACCCACGCGAGGAGAGACCCACGTTTTCCGTGTCTCCCGAAGAGAAACCCAGCCGCCGCCGCCGCGTTCGGTTCGATCGCCCCCGGAGGCGAGCGGCTCTTCCCTTGTGCTACCCCTGGCCAAGAATAATCCTGGAAAAAAAAAACGCAAGGAAAAGCGGCCCGGCCCGGCCTTCCAGTTCCTGGCGACCCGTTCCCTCCTGTCTCCCTGGAAGGGCGGGGGCAGGCGAAGGGGCGGATGCCAACATCCCGAGCCGACAGGTTCCCGCGCCAACAAAGTTCGGTTAGCTGCCTTGGCCCGCCGACAAATGGCAGCAGCAAACCCGCCGCGGCTGGGAGAGCGGAAGGGTTCGGCTGGAAAAAAAGGACACGCCGCAGAGCCAGCGGCTGTCGAGGCAACAGGTAGCCCTGACTCGCCTCTGGATTTTCAGCCCGGCGCCCCCTTCCTCCTGGCCCGTCTATTGCCCCACAAGCGCCCCCCGGGATCCGTCTCCCCCCTTCCCTTCCTCTTACCGTGCCTCCCCTTCCACGGGGGGTGGGCTGGATCCCCTTCGCAAGCACCGGGCTCCGATCCTCCCCTCTCTCTGTGTGTGCGCGTCTCTCCTCAAGCGAGCTGCCTCTTCTCCAGCCTCTCTGCCGCCGGGTTTGCACGGCAGCACGCTTTCTCTGCCTGCTCCCGGCTGCTCCAAAAGCGGATCGGGTGTCCGGCTTTACGCAGCAACTGGCCGCGTCTGTCAAATCGGAGCCGAGGGACCCGGGCGCGGAGGAGGGGAGGGGAGGCGAGGGGGGGGGGCTTGAGAGAGCAACCCCCAGCCTGGTGCTCCTGGACGCCCCGGCGCGAGCCAGTTGGAGGCTTCGCTTTGCATCAGCCGCCCTAGCGGTGAGAGCAGAGGCAAAGCGGGACGAGCGCGCCCTTGCTCAGCTTGGCTGACTCACCGAGGCTGCCTGCGCTTTTTCTCCTCCCGCTTCCTCCCTTCCCTCCCCCCCCCGCGCGCTTCTTTATTTATTTTAAAGTCGCTTGTTTCCTTTGACTCATCGGGCTCGCCGTCGACGGATTTCTGTCCCATCCCAGAGCCGTTCCGGGCATTCCCTTCGGCGGAATGGGATCCGAGTGGGACCCCTGGGCCAGCAGTTGGTGGGGGCGGTCAGCCTGTTCACGCGCGAGCGCGGTACCCCCGCACCACCCTCGCAGAGGCTCGACTTGGATAGGCGCAGTTTGCCGTTTGGCAAGGAAAGCGATAAACGCGCCTCTGCTCTTAGGAAATCCACGCACACGCCTCTCTCCCTTCTCGCCCGGCCGCGCCAGTGTTTTATATGGCGATCGGAGTTTTCGCAGGTCGCAAACCGTCCCTCTTTCGATTGGCACCGCGCTCGGGTGTTGTTGAGAAAGTTCACGCCGTGGGTTTTGACTGATAAAAACGGCGGTCCAGCTTTCACACGTTTCAAAGGAATCTAACCGATTTGGACTATTCCTTGTGCCGTGCAGGAAATGTAGAATTTTTTCCCACAAATTGTATTTGGTGACGTTTATTAAGAATTATCTACAATAATTCTTGAATATAATTACATTTTTTAGTTTAATTTTATTATTTGGGAAAACTACATGCCAACACACCCATTTTCCGTCCTCCTTTTAAAGCCTGGCATCTTGCCTTGCTTATGGATCATACAGCAGTTGTCCAGATATATTAGTTTGATATTTTCAATTTTGATATTTTTATAAGTGATGACAGGTTATCAAAATCATGTCCAAGGCAATTCTGGACCTGTTTCTTTTTTCAAACACACAAACAGCTCCATAATGATAGTTTTTATCTTAATTTAAACTTCCCTTAATTTAGAGTACCTCTAGGTAGGAGGGCAAAATACCAGCCATTGCATATTAAAAGGCACACCTTCTGAGAAAGTTATTTTTCTCTCTCACAGAATTCCTCTCTTTATGTTTCCACTTTTATCACCAAGCTCCTGATATCTGATTCATTCTCAAGTATTTATCATATTCTCAGGGGGGGGGGGTTTCTTTGTCCTTAAGAAAAATCCTGCAGTTTCCTTACGCACTATCATCAGGAGGATATGCCATTCAGATAACAGTTCTCCAAAATGCTAGACTACCAACATCTCTATATTCCTCAGCTAGCACAATTGGGTGGCTGTTACATACATTGGGCTCTAATTTCCTGAATTGATCCAGGGGTGGTCATGGAGCTCTTTTAACTTGTCTCTCTTACCCATCTAAAATATTTCCAAATTAGTCTGGTCCTATTTCAAAACCTAAGAGATCTCCAATTACAGGTCATTTTTGAGAGTTGTACTGTATCTGTGTTTACCATTAAATGAAGTTGACTCTGCAAAGTTATTCTACAGAGTATTGCTTCACATGCCTCTGATTTCTCCATCTCTCCTTGCTCTGCTTTTTGGGTTTCACTTGATTTTTAAAAGATTTGGGACGAGTTGTATTTAACTTGGAAAACAGATCACTGTTTTAGAAAGTCTGCCAACCTGCACTCTTAGACTTAACTCAGAATCCTGGAGGATTTCCCTGCTTCTCTTACTGATAGTTTAAATGATCAAAACATAAAACATATGCACGGTGACAAGAAAAACTGTTTTTTTCCTTTTGTTTTTGAAAAACCATAACTCAAGGGGGGTGGGGAATTCAGGGCAGCAGCTGAAAAGAAATCTTTTTTTTCATATAATGCATAACTTTCTAATAATATAGTTCAATTTCCAGCTGGACAGTTTTAAAAGGGAATTAACAAATGCATAAATGTTAAGGTTATATACTGTATTATACCAATAGCACTTAATGAGGACAGCAGGCAAGGAAGAAGGAAATGGAAGGAAAAACGGAATAAAAATAATCACAGCATTACCAATGAGAGCTTTAAAATGATTTTACCAACTGGGGAAGTCCATTAATCGGTGACTGGTTTAAAGTCCATCCACAACAATGGACTTATTCAAGAGGGAGGATGGGAATATAGCTATTAGACTAGCTAGGCCCATTTTTACAGACCCCTTGAGAGGTGGAATATCCATTTTCCTTGCTAAGGATTTTCATGCTACCTTGGGGGGGGGTATTAGGACCCTGCCTTACCTTCAATATCTTTCCTTATATCACTTAGTATCACTTGCTAGGAACACAATTGGGACTATGCAATTGGCATTGATCTTGCTGATGGGCTGTAGTAAGGCCCATGGAAACATAATGCTGAACTAGGTTGGCTTTTGGCTTTATTCAGAGTTTTTGTACTGGTTGTGTTCTAATATACTTTTGTTATATTGCTACCAAAATGTGTGCGTGTGTGTGTGTGTGGGGGGGGTTGTATCTATGGCTATAGTTATAGCCCAGAATGTAGTCTTTTCTTAGAATTAAATGCTCCCATCTCCTATAGTTCCATAGTTTATTGGGGCAAGTAGCTTCTATATCTTTGTGCTCTAGAAGTAAATCAAAGAAAGGGGGGGGGGAAGTCATCCAATACAAGAATAGATAATTACATTTTACTATAAATGCCATGCCAGGTCTAAATTGTAAAGTAATAAGGTATCCAGGTGACTTTGACTTAACTTTGAAGATCAAGTTACACAGGAAAATAAATATTATATAATTAATTTAACAAGTCACAGGAGGATCCAAGGACAGAACAAATATTCATGATAATTCAGAACCCCTTTCAAATTTTTGCATCCTAAAAACAAGATTGGTGATTGTTTATGGGCAGAAAGATGCCTTATACACAACACAGCCATTGAAAAGAGCAACCTGAGTCTTATGTTAGTCATCCTCTTAATATGAAGGAACTTTCACCAAACCTTTGTTGTGAGGTCAACATGTTTGTTTATTTTTCACTCATCTCCCTTAAAGACAAATGTCCAGCTTTCTGCCTACAATCCATGCCACAGGTTTCCAGTACCCAAGATATAGCTACACACAACATGCTAACATCTAGGATCACAAGTTGCAAGCAACCCTATATTTTATGGGGAAAGTGTAAGAATTTGCCTTGAGTTGCTGGCACAAAATAGCAATCTTGGAATCACTTTACATTCAACTATATTTCAGTTTTTTGAATTGAATAATAGCAACAGCCACTCAGTATCCTTTTTTTTTGTCACCTCACACTTTTCTACATTTCTTTTCCTTCTGAACTTCCTAATCACATTACCTCTAGGTAATACTGGAAAATGATTCATGTATTTGATATTGTGGATTTCAGTCCATAAAAACATATATATATATATGTATGCCATAGTAAATGTGTTAGTCTTTATTGTGTTACAAGTCTTTTAAAAAAATTTACTTGGGTTAGAAATAGAGTTAAAGCTCATACAGGAAACCTTAACTATGGAGTTTATGATACTCAGCAGATCTCACAATTTGCTACTGTGTTGTTTCCCTGTAACACTAGCAGCTCTTTCTGATACAGAAAGTCCTCAACTTATGACCACGATCAAGACCCCAATTTCCAGTGCTAAGCAAGACAGTTAAGTGAGCTTTGCCACACTTTACGACTTTTCTTGCCATAGTTATTAAATGAATCGTTGCAGTTGTTAAGTTAGTAACATGGTTGTCAAGTCAATCTGGCTTTCCCGTTGACTTTGCTTGTCAGAAGGTCACAAAAGGAGATCACGTGACTCCAGGATGCTGCAACTGTCATAAGTTGCCAGTTGCCAAGTATTCAAATTTTGATCATGTGACCATGAGTGTGCTTCAACAGTTGTGTGAAAAACAGTCATAAGTCACTTTTTTCAGTGCTGCTGTAACTTTGAGCGGTCACTGAATGGTTGTAAGCCAAGGACTACCTGTATCATGTTAGGGCCACATCTGATATATTGTTGACCAGATGGAATTCAACTAGAACTGTGATAGGCGACCTTGGCTCTTTTATGACCCATGGACTTCAACTCCCAGAATTCCTGAGCCAGCATGGCTGGCTCAGGAATTCTGGGAGTTGAAGTCCACAAGTCATAAAAGAGCCAAAGTTGTCTACCCCTGAACTAGAAGCTGTAGCCGGTCTGGTCCTTCCTTCTCTCTCTCTCGAATACACACACATATGCAAATTCGCAAAGCAAAGTCACCAGTCTGTATTTTCAGCCATATTAAAGAAGTCACTTCCAATAAATCCTGTGGGGTGTTTTGTTTTTGTTTTTTAGAAAATTATGATTGTTATTTAATCCGATAAAGTCCAAGCAAACTAATACTTGCCTTATCCCTGAGAAAGCAGAGTCCTTTTGATTTGAAGCTGCACTGAAAGCAGCAAGAACTTACAACTGAGTGGCAAAAGTTTCACAATGACTGGTTAATGCTAGAAAACGATTCTGGAGGAGATCAGCTTCGTATTCATTTGCCAAACCATCTTCGCAGCCGGGAAAGTCAAGAAAGTCTCATTGACTCCAATGGAACTGAGGGCAACTTTTCTTTTTCCCAGGCCCTGCATGGAAGAATGCATGGAAGGGGGCGGGGTGAAGACTCTGTATCCTAGACCTGCCTCTACTATCCTTTGCTTCTTTAGGCTGCACTTTTACTGATTATTGATTGGCAAATGTTTATCTTATCTCTCTTCTTACAGCTGGAGCAGGATTAAAAAGTGAGATCATACTTACTCGCTTTCCGAGGTTCTTCGGCAGGAGAGAGCAGAACTCGTTTCACTTTCACCACTTTCCAGTCTCGACTTTGATCATCCCTGTTGCTAATCCCAGGATCCATCGCATCAGAAACAGGCCACGGAGAGTCTCCTCGTTTCTCATTGGACACCGGCCTGCTGTCATTGCTTTTGCAGGGGAGGACATTCCCATTGGCTCTCCAAGTTTCCTTCTGGAGATTTTCTCCATCTGACTCTTTCCTTACTTGCTCTCCATGGCTACTATCGTTTCCCGTTCCTTGCAGCCTTGCCAAATAGCTTTTGCCTTCTGCAGGGCCAACCTTAGATTTCTTAATAATGTGAGGATTTGGGTCAGCTCTGCCGGAGCCTGCAAAGTTGGGCTGAGGTTGGAGGCAAGGTGGTTGTAAGGTCGTTTTTAGCATTTTGCCTCTTGTTGGATAATATTCAGTGCTTGGCAGAGCTGTTCTTCTTCAGAAGAAAATTCTTTGCAGTTTTCAACTCTTCTTGGATATTGCCTGGGAAGGCAGAAAAGCAAATTATATCCTTCAGTCCAATAAGCCTTTCACAAGCCTGACCACAAAGCTCTTAAGTGCAGGGATAAGATGGCACCAAGAACACATGATGCATTTTAAAAAGGAATTTGGGATTTAAGTGATGGAAAACAGACATATTTCTCTTTAATTCCTTTGCAGCCTTCAAATTGTTCAGATGAACAAAGGAGAGTTTCTGACAGGACTTTCCTTGTCATGTTTAGGTACAAGGTAGTTTCCCAATAGATGCATTTTAGAAGAAACAAATGGCTTTTTTTAACAGTGTTTAAGATACAAACACACAAAAAAGATGTGTCTACATTATTTTACATAGCTATTCAATCTATGAATTTAAAGTAATATCTTCATATATGAGCAGATGATTTTGCATTAAGGAAAATGTTGCCAATTTTCCTTTTTCACATCCATTTCTGCCCCCATAGCCCTAAAGAACAATAAGGCTTAAATTAATCATGGTTGATTGTTCTCAGTGAGACTAAAACCTAATTGAAATAAAATAATCAATCCATTCGAATGGTTGAAGCCAGTGTCAACTTTTTAGTAGCAGAAACCACCCATATTTCTACTTGCGACTTAATGAAATTTGTATATCCTGTCCTGTACTGTAGTGTTTTCCATCTTCCAGATGGAAGCTATTTCAGTAAAGCTAAAGCATGACTAATTTAGTCTCAATCTAAGCCATTACATTGCATTTACAAATATAAATATATACAGACATTCATTTCACAATTGCTGATTAGAAAAGAAAGGATTTGAAGATTTGATATATCAGATTTGTCATAGTTATAGAAGCGTAGAATATTATTTTCTAATGTTACTATAATCAGCTAGGTTAGCACTTTCTCAGTGATAGGATCTGATTCTTTAGCTTGTTACATCCCAACTACTTCAAAATTTAGTGTAGAATAAAATAACAGCAAAGCATACATGAGTTGTCATAGAGGTGAGGGAGAAGCAACCTCTCCTATCCATATGCCTGAAGCAGTATGAATTATATTCTGTCTATGGTATTTTGCTGAATGGGACAGGAAACACTCTGGCTCTTTTATTGTGTCCACTGAAGGACAAAAGTGAAGAACATTCAAGATGTTCATGTTAACATTATGTTTTAACTAAAGCCTCCTCAATCTTTTGCAGAATAGCTACACTATACATGCAGTAAGTGCTGTGTAGACTTGCATGCACATGTCAAGTTTGTACAGAATGACATCATCTTTTCAATAAGTATGGCACCAAACTATATTGTGGGAGTTGTCAAGTTCCTTGAGGTCAGTGTTTCTCAACCTTGGCAACGTTAAGATGTGTCAGTTTTCACAATTCCTCAGCCAGCACGAAGTCCACATATCTTAAAGTTGCCAAGATTGACTTCTTTAGACTGCAGACCAAGCCAGCCTTTTTTCAGTCGGATACCTTCTATTCTATTAATTCGGTGAAGAGCAATTTTGATATCTTTAGCAGATATTGTAAGATATAACAAGTAATGGATGTAGTAAGAATGATAAAGTGAGCATAGAACAGGATTCAAATCAGTCTCTGCAGTAATGCAATGGTAACATTCTTTTACTGCAAATTGGGGAAATAATGGTTAATTTTGCTTCTCCAAGACTTGTGGCATTTTTTTTCTAAGAAGGCAAAAAATTGATAAAACACTCAAAGGACCTCTACTGATGACTCAAGTTGAGTGCTAAATTCCATACATTCTAGATTGGCAGCCTTAATCTCACTTAACTGAGAGCTCCTTCTGTTTCTTTGACAATTCACATCACTTAGCTTGTATTCAAAGAAGTTTAGGTGCCAGGAGGGGAAAAAAATGGAGCTGATTTGATAAAATGTGCAAAGTCTCTCTAGCAGGAGATTAAAAAAATAGACAAAGCTAATAAAGCCAGTGCTGCAAAAAAGGAAAGTTAATGATTAAAATCCTAGATATCTTCTGAAAGCTATTTTGATTTACCTTGGCCATGTCATGTATGCTAATTCATTGGAGAAGGCAATGATTCTGGGAATGGTTACTGGATCACGAAGAAGGGGCAAGCAAAGAACTTGCTGGTTTGATAACATCAAATCTGATACATCCAACAACTGAAAGAAGCTGTGCTTGACAGGGTAGCATGGAGAGCACTTGCTTATAAAGTGGCAAAGAGTCGGACACAATTAAATGGTTAAAACAACCACAATCTTCTGAAAGCATGTTATACAAATTAAGTTGGGCTTTTACTAGAATGGATAGAAATCACGTGATAACCTTATGTAATGTTTGCATGGAAAAAAATAGGAAAGGGTAGTGCTATCGAGTCTTAACAACCTGTAATTTATTAATATTTTTAGCTAACTTTTGGCTAACAGACAATTTTTGGGAGCATATTTGACCTCTGACCTTTTGAATAACCAGCAATTTTTTATCAATTTCATTGTAAAGCCTTGCATTGATAAATCCATTTTTGTTTCTGAAGTTTATTTTTAAATATATTTATAGAATACCCATAGCTTTTTGCTTTCAGACGTGTAAAAAGATTATTTTTCAAGAAGCTGCTTGTTTTAAAATGTCATCTGCTCAGGGTGACCAGTGCTCAGAACAAATATTGAAAAAAGAAAAAATACTAGAAAAAAATATTGATCTGTGACACTGACAATATTCAAATATGGCAGACCCAAATAGTCAACTGTGTATGAACTGCACTGAGTATGAAGCTTTTTATCAATCAATCAATCAGAATAGACTGGAAGGGACTTTGGAGGTCTTCTAGTCCAATGCCCTGGTCAAGCAGGAGACCCTATACCAGGGGTGTCAAACTGCCTGCCTGCAGGCTGGTTGTATCATATGGAGGTCGCACCCACCCCAGCTCCAGCAATACAAAAAAAGTTGCGACACGTCACGTGATGCAGCAAGTTTGACACCCATGCCCTATACCATGATACCTATATCCTATACTATACTTACGATTTATGCATTACCTGGGCTGACCATCCAATGGGAGACAACTTGTGGAATGTAACATTTTTGAAGTTACATACTGAATTATAAACACCTTGAAAATGCCACAATATGGGCAATTTTAATTTTGAATTTTAATTATTTTACTCTTGTTTTTGACTATTTTTATTGTAATGTTTATACATAGCTTTTCTGTTTTATGTCTTTTTGTTCACCACCTACAATTGCCCTATGAGATGGGCAGTTTCTACATTAGATAGATAGATAGATAGATAGATAGATAGATAGATAGATAGATAGATAGATAGATAGATAGATAGATAGATAGATAGACAGACAGACAGACAGACAGATAGATAGATAGATAGATAGATAGATAGATAGATAGATAGATAGATAGATAGATAGATAGATAGGCAAAGCTCAAATAGGTTTTTGTGAAGTCCTATTTGCAATATAAGTTGTGTTAAATGCAAACACAAGTTTGGAGATGGGAGATATTAGTTCGCCTATTAAGATCACCTTGTCTCCAAATAAATTATTAATCAATTAAATATTCCATCTTTCCTCTTTACTGTTAAATGATCCCACGGTGATCACATATTTGTACAATCGTTTTAAAACCCAGCACAAACCACAATGATTAGTCAATGTAAACATAAACAAGCCAAAGCTGCTTTATAGCTATTCCAGCTCTGTTGCCTGGGCCCAGTGCTTAATTCAAGGTCTCCCTGTCTTCCAGTTTTCCATTTGAAATTTGAGCAAACATCACACAGATGTTTGCCCAGCAGGGATTTCTTCATCTGATTTAAAGCCTGCAGGAAATCTGTTAGTGCTGAGGAGTTCCATTTTTCATCTTCAAGCAGCAGGCTAGGCATCTTGATCTATTCATAAATGCTCACCCTAGCTTCTGTAATAGTGTTGTTCTATAGCCCAGAAAGTCTTCTGAAGCATTAGATTTCCTTCCCAGACTGCACATCTGCAATAACAAAGAGCAATTGCAGATCTGTAATCATGTCCCCACCTGTAACTAACCCTGGCACCCTGGAACACTCTTTTCCTGCCATGTCTGCATGATATTGCTTTCATCTTGTTCCCAGCCCATGGATGAAATAAGTTTAAGCTATTCCTAGCTGGAGCAGCGCTGAGCTAGCATTTTTCTCTTTATTCTCTTTATCCCATCCAAGTGCAATCTTAAGATAAGTACATTTTCTTAGGCTTTGTCACCCATTGCTCTGGAAAGAAACCAGGTAACTGGCAGTGACTGGGAACGGACATTCTTGGAGGATGGATGGGGATGGACAGAGAGGACAGTGCAGTTCAAGCCAAGAAAGTTTCCTGCCAACCCAGCTTTGCTGATCTCCTCACTTTGAGAAGCAGAAGTGGTTTGAAATGGAGAAGCAGATGGGCTCCCCCAAAATCATTCATCTAAGTTGCATGTCCATAATGGGAGGAGAAGGGAGAGGAAGACGATTGGCTGATCTCTCATTTTTTTTTCTCCACAAAGGCATCCACAGAATAAACCCAATGCTAAAGGCAATTTATGCCTCGTGAACTTGCTTGATCATTGAGATTCAGTTAGGAATCTTCTTCTTTGGTTTTCTTTCTTCCACTTAATGAAAAGCAGGGCATCAAGCCACCTCATGCCCTGCATGACTATGTTGCAAGAAGAAAAAGGATGCCCAGTATTGCCGTGCATGTGTCCATGTCATGCGTGTGCGCTGCTGAGTGATGCATAGGACATAAAGCTGCTATCATATGTGTGAATAGTGTCATCTATTCCTCTGTACTATTTATTTATTTATTTATTTATTTATTTATTTATTTATTTATTTATTTATTTATTTATTTATTTATTTATTTATTTATTTATTTATTTATTTATTACACTGATATTCCAACATTCCCCAAAATATAACCTTCAATTTATGCCAGCAAT